TAAATTTGAAACACATTTTTTATATACAAAAAAAAAGATAGGATATTAAATTCTATCAGGTGCAAACTGTCGATTTTTGTTCCTTTCCAGCGTTTTCAGAGTGCGCATGACTAAATTCTTCTTCCAGCTGGTCATAGTGATTCATGTATTTGCATGCGCTTGGTATGGTCTGGCCTGTCCGCTCAATGATTGCTCAACTGAGGAAAACTGGATTAAACTTGAAGGTCAGTTAAACGTAACAAAGCTGAATCGATAACGCTTTAGAATTACATTTTAACGTGACTTTCAGTTGTTCTCTAACCATCCCAGCATAAACCGTTTCTTTCATTTTGATGCGACAATTGAACCCGGATTTCATACCCAACTTGGACATCTGTTTCTTACAGATCTTCTAGACGCGCCTGCTCTTTCTCGTTACTGTACAGCGGTATACTGGGTTGTAGCCACTATGACATCTACGGGTTATGGAGACATTCATGGTGATAGCTCTTCTGAAATGGGTGAGCAAAAATTTCTCGAGGCTTGAAATTCCTAACGATTTTTCACAGGTGAAACTCTATATTGAAAACACTTCACTACACATATATCGACCGCTAAAAAATGCAACAGGAATATTCTGTAAGCGAAGAAATGAAATGACGCTCGGAGTAGAATGGGGATGGATGTATGCCCCAAACCATTCCTTTTTCTTTCCTTTTTTTTTCGAAGATGAAAGACTACTTCATAGCCGTTGCTTTCAGTAAATTGTCGCTCAAAATTACACTGCAAAGTATAACTTTCAATCATCTTGTTTTTACATGGAGCTCTGGCAAGTTTTGTTATGATTTTTGGAAAGCTTCTTTTTGGTTTTATCCTTGGAAACATTGCTTCTACTTTGGCTAACGCTGAGATTAGACGAGTCAAGTACGAAGAGAAACTGGATGCTATTCAGGTGTGTAACCGTCTGCTAGTTGCACGTCGAGAATGGCAGATACGAGGCCAATGTTAATCTGCCATACTCTCTAGGATTTTTCGTGTTTAGCTCTGTTTATTTCGTGGTTTCTTTGTTTTAATGTTGTTGTTGCTGTGGTTGTTGTAATTTTTTTCTATGCCATCCAAGCTGGTCGCCTTTTTTATTCACTTGTTAGGCGCATATGTCAGACCAAGACATCCCAGAAGCTTTACAGAATCGAGTAATGGACTTTTATGAGTTTATCTGGAACAAAAACAAGTGAGTCTGGATTTTCCATCGGATCAGGGGTCCTTTACTTGAACGTCCCCGTAGTTACTATCCCGAAAGACCGGTAGAGTGATTTTCGAGTGAGTGTCGTAAAACTTAAACCAAAGTTATCATGACGACCAATCAGAAGACAGGAAAATACCCATCGGAACCAATGAGAACTCAAACTGAAACCGAAGCGCGGGAAAACGCGAGTGACCAAATCGTGATTGGTTTTAGTTCTACATCTGATTGGTTGAGAGCACGGCGCGAGACCAATTATCGAGCAAAGCAAAGCAGAGCCATTGGAATCTTTAATTTCTTTTGACACTCAGTTGAAGATGACTCTATTTGTCAGTTGTGGTCACACTTAAGATTCAGACTTTGGCAGAGTTTTAAAATACGAGAAATAAGCTTCGGCCCGTTAAGCTGGGATCAGAGATTCCCAAGACTCTGTTGGAGACACTTTCATCCAACTGTAACACTTTTTTATTAAAATAAAATTCAAGCAAACCAAAATTTTGCGTTAAAAATCTCTGAAACCAAACTTTGATCAATATGTTCCAGTCGTTAATAATTATTTGCCTCTTTTTGAAGGGGAATTGATCACGGTACACTGTTCTATGACATGCCTCTTTGCATGAATAGTGAATTGTGTCTGGGCATCGTTAAGGATATTCTTTATGCGGTGAGTGAAGCGATCTTCCATTCGTCTGCGAGTCTTAAAGTCTTGTAATCCTTAGCAGTTTATTATTGGTTACCTGGGAATAAATTGACTTAAATTTCTGTACAATTGGTTATGGTAAACATAGCCCTCGTCATGATAGCGCTCCGGCAGGAGAGTTTCTTCGCCTATGGGAAAGTATTAAGGTCTTGATCAACGCAAGCTGGCGGAAGGCCGGCAAGGAGTCTAGTAGTGTCAGACTCCCAGCAAACCTCTCCCTCGACTCGTCTCAAATCTTCCCGCGCGCGGAAAACGTACTTCCCGCTGCCTTAATAATGAAGGCCTCTCTCAGGCTCTGGTGGGCACTAAATGGTGATAGATATATAACAAGCACGGTAGGTATTGATGTTCCGATGAAAAAGTTTTCTGTTATTAAAAATTAACTAAGATCTTTAAGAAATTGATTTCAAATCTTAAAATTTCATTACTACCTGTCGCAGTTTCTGCGAAGAATGAATTTAAATACCCAAATCAAGAACTGAAATGTTTAAAAAAATCGTTTTAGTTGTTCATTCCAACATCAAACGTGAAATCTCTCATCCCAGTCACTTCCTTATTTCATGGCTAGTTACTTTGTTTGATTTGTGTTGTGAGCACTTTTAAACTGATTTTCTATATTTATTATTTACAAAGGTTCCTTTCTTAGAAAATACTGAACTACCTTTCATCCGGTTGTTGAGTACCAAAGTCAAGCCTGCGAATTTCCACGCAAGTGAATACATCGTTCGGAAGGGTGATATTGGACAGGAAATGTTCATTATTCGAAAGGGACTGGTAAGTTTTTATGTTAACTTTCACATCCGAAGGCACTGCCGCTTCCTGGGAAAAAAAAAGCTTGGAAAAGAATTTTTTTACCCTGGCGTTATTTTAATGGATAAAATCAAGCCTGTAGTGTATTTGAGCAGCCATGTAGACAGTTAGAAACATCAGCCAGGATTATCTTGGATAGTGTGAATGGGACCAGTGTCAGCTCAAAGAAGACCAGAAATTAGTCAATTGCCCAGTTAGTATAAGCAATCGGATCAAGCCCTTTGCGCAATCTGTCGAAAACGGTCTCATTAATTAATACCATCTCTTTAGGTGGAGGTTGTCACCGAGGAAGACCCACCAGAGGTCATTGAAACCTTGGAGAAAGGCGACTATTTCGGAGAAATGTTCCTGATTCACGCCTGTCCCCAAAAAATGTCTCTACGTGCAGTAACTCATGTGGACATGCTCGTTCTCAGCAAAGAAGATCTAGATGCCCTGCTAGTTCATGACCTCCATGTTGCAAAGCAGGTCAGCGAAGTAGCAGAGAGGCTATATCCTAATCCAAGTAAAACCAAATGATGTGCATACTTGAGTGCGACTATCAATCCTCACTCGTTCATTATTTTTCATCACTACAATGACATTCCGAAAAAAAAACTCTTTCAAAACCGTTTTTGATAGTGGTTTCAATTCCAAGTATATTCACTTTTGGGTTTTTTTCACACTTATTTCTTGATCGTTGGTATCTCGTATTCCTTTTTCCTGTATGAAGTCTATGAATAAAAGCTGTTTCCTGTACTTTTTTAACAGATATACTGTTTGCGCGATATGTTGGAACCACAGCAACTACTTTTTCAATTCTATTCTTCTTCAAATACACAAAAGATTGCGCTGTGGCCATTTTGAAAAGCAGTGGTTCAGAGTGATAGTCAACCTATGTCAGTGTTATTGTATCAACAAAAAGTTTACACTTAGCGCGAAAATATGTCCAGATATGTTTTTGTCCTTTTTTTAGTATTGATTTCTTTATTATTTTCAATGTCATTAGGCAAGACTTTCCATCAACAGACGAAACGTCACTTTACACTATATAAGTCACCAAAATTAACGACTGTACCAAGTTTATGCGCACACACGCACACATAAAAAATATAGGCATCAGGCGTAAAAATTGATAAATTTAACCGTAAGCCAAAACAGTTAACCAGGAAAACTTAATCGTAAAAGAAGGAAGCTTAGTTAACTGTTATCCTTAAAATGGCAAAAGCCTTCATCCTATTGTGACTACAATTACTAACAAAAACGATGAATTTAAAAAAAAAATTCAAATAAAGACTTTAACTCCATTTAACAATTATTCCTGAAGCGCGTTGGATATGAGATGGTAAATAGCCAACGAGCGAGGGCTGGGACGCATTAGGTCACGTGTCGCGTTTAGACCAATCGCTTTTGCTCTGTTCTATTAATGCATTCCTTTTTCTAAATCAACGCAGAATAGAGAGTGGTGTAGACTGAACGTAGCCTCTAATCCTCTAGTACCATGGATGGATTGAAATGTTGTGGAGGCCGTCGAAATTTTACTTATCAAGAGAGGGGTAATCTAATTTAGGCAATTCCTCAGTATTGTATCGCGAATCCTGTAATACGCATAAAGTTACGCAATCAGGCGAATAAGCGCGCGTGCATTCCGAGAACATGGTATTGTTTTTCAGTGAATGGACTCGGTGAAGAGGTACGATTGTCTTCAGCTCTTGAACGAGCACGGTGACCTATATTTTTATCATATAATTTTGGTGTACAAATTGTTCCCTATAAATTTGAGAAATTGGAAAATAATCATCGAAGGGAAAAAAAAAGAGATATAGCTAAACGCGTCACGTGTCACGCGTTACGTGTCACGCGTTACGCGAGTAGTGGGCTTCGTGCTGCACGAAGCCCGCTACTCGATTATGAAATTATAAATTATGAACAACTCGTGGAAAATGTTCGAGTCGATTTTGTTTAAAACTGCGTGACTTTTCCACAAATTGTATATCAAATTGTTCCATACGCTCGAGACTTTTACCTAACAAGTTTTTTTCAAGTGTTAGTTTAAAAACCCTTGCTTCCAGCTACCTCATAACGTGCCTTGAACCAATGAAATGAAGCGCGTGATTAGCGCCACAACAGGCATAGATGGGGTAAGTTTGGCTCATCATATCTCCTACACAAACAAGGTGGCCTATCTTTTTAATTTTATTTTTCGAAACAGACATTGGTAGAGAATGTAATTAACATTTAGGGAAAGTTTAAAAAATTGTTCGCTAACCTTTTTTTTTTTTCTGAAGAATCACCTTAAATTCTAAAAAGTGTACGATTTCAAGAATTCTAGTGGCTGCATTAGGTTGTTGACTTCTTGGATCTGCTTTTCCGTCCACACAACTAACGATCTAGTTTTAGATGGAACAGGGTCAACCATTGACGCACAGTCACGAAGATAATCTTCGGAGCATGAGATATCCAGGAAGTCGCAGATTTTTCGAAGATACTTTGTTGGCTCCCGAACAAATTCTTCCCCTTGTATGTCAATAATTCGATCTCCAAGAGTCTCCCTTGTTGCCTGGCAATTATTGGCGATGTAGAAATACCGCGTTATACTGTAATCAATCGCCTCTGGGATATGCACCTAATAAATTGAATCAAATCATATGTCGAGCTTAACGCGAAACAACTTGATTCAATCTAGAGAAAGCAGACAAATCTACTCTGTAGATGCTAAACCACCGTAAATTTTCTATGTGTTGGGTTGGTTCTGTACCTCCAGTAAGTGTATGCTTACAACGCATGACATTAGACTCCGTCCTTAATTTCCCCCGTACATGTGTCTGCGGGCGCTCACAAAACAATTTCGCTTTTTTTCAAAATTTGTAGAAAGATTAACTTGATATGTAGATTGAAATGTAGTAATTAACAATGGGGGTTTATCGATATTTATTTAAATCGCTATCATGTATGAAGCTAAATGTTTTTATTGTAATCTCTCTCCTTTTCAAAAACAAAATATCAGCTTGTTGAGAAATGATCAGGCATTTATAGCAGTACTTTTAAGGAAGCTCACAAAAATGTGTTAGGTATCAATCCATCAAAGAATATATGTTTAAAAATAAAGAACCTATTTTGGGCCACCTTAGAAGGGAAAGATTTGTCGAAGAATCGTAACAATAAAAATTTCTGTTTCGTCTTGTAATGATATCATGCTGTGAGGAGTTAACCAAATCTTCTGTTTCTCTTAAGCGAGGAAGGGAAGTCAAAGCCTTGATTTAAAAGATATTTTAATACGTAAAGTTGCGCGAAAAACTAATCGTAGGGTTCTGAAGAGGAATGTTCTTAGAATAAAAAATTCATGTTGTACTCGGCTCACCTTTTTTGTATGTTCTCCTGTTCTTAATCCTCTCAGTCTCAGCGCCATTGTTGATATGTTGTCAAAGGGGTTCCTAACCACGTGAATAAATTTTGCGCTGACGTTAAATTTGTCCTCCAGTTGTTTCAGTAAATCTCTGCCTACTTCTGTAGACAAATGGGAAGCTGTAAACCAACCCAATTTGTCTCCAAGGATCTGCAAGGTGAAAAAGAGTTTATCAAAACTAAAGTTCTCGAACACGATTGGCTATCACCAGCCCGATTTAAACACTAATAGGAAGGTGTACGCGTTATGCTTGTAATTGAACAGTGTAATAGGACAGTTAAAGTGACAATTAACACGTCATGCTTGTGTAAGTGGACAGAACGCCTCATGTACGCGCTCTGTTGTCTCGCATTTCGCCGAGTTAACTGTTGTTTTTTTTCTTATGAAAACGTTTAACCAATGTCTCGTTTCTTTCTCAAATTTTTCCATAGTTTTGATTAATTGGTAACAGGAATTCGTGTCGTCCAATTCTGTCTGTAATCATACTCGTGATTACCAAATCGGACTCGCGCTTCGCGGTCGTCCGATTTTGTTAATTACTCGTAGGATTACGGACCGAATTGGACTCCGCTCGGTCCTATTACCATTATTTATCATATAAACACAGTATCCCTTTACAGACAAGAAAAGTCGACTTTATTAATGAATGAAAATAAAAGGATCGACAATCCCGGATAATAATCGTAAAGCGCGTTGGTGCACCAAGATGAAAATTTAACATTCGTTGAATAACCACAAAAACATACAATGGGCGTAATTTTCAAGATGAAAAATTCTCAGTTATTGACTTGGTCCTTACCGACAAAAGAAATGGTTCAGGTAAACGACATGAATCGGCCTATGTCAAATCTTCTAGCTGTCGATTTTCGTTCTCAGCCGCGAAAAATGCCATTACCAAAGTCACTGAATACGTAACTTTCTGTTTTTCTTGTCTTACTTTGGTTTTCTTCCCCTTCTAGGAAAGTTTGAACGTCACTGTCTGTAAGCGATACGGATTTCTCAGTGTTTTAGCAGCCGTAATCCAAGAAAATTCCGACAGTGACGACCTTGGATTGAGAATGGTGAGGGCTTTGCTGTTCATTTATCAACCTGTCCCAGCGGTGTGAGAGGTGAGTGACGCCAGGCTGTTGTTACAAACACTTATACTTTTAAAACTTGTCACCAGGTGGTTTTTTAGGCACAACTGAGAAATGAAATACACAAACACACCTTAAGCTTCTGATCAAATGTTCCTTGAAACTGATTTGGTACTTTGTATCCAAGCTGTTCGTAATTGGAAACTGTGCCATTTGCTTGTCTTGCTCGGATTCCCCAGGTGGCCGACATGTATGAACGTTTGGCAATTTTGTCAAACATCTCTATTTTCCTCCAGTCTGGGTTATTCTTGTAGGATCCTATCAAATTTAACTCGTTGGAAAGTATTATGTTGGGATGTGCGTCCAACAGAGCAGATACAAGCGTATGGCGACTTCTGGGGTAGCCAATGAAGAGAAGCAGTGTATCTACGTCATCATATGCGGCGTGCAATCTTTCCATATCAAGTTTGCGGACTTAAGAAAGAAAAGCAGCGTTTAGTTACCCAGGAAAAGAGGCTATGAGACTGATTTTATAAGATGCATTCTTAGGATCCTTATCACTTATTTCTTTGAAAATTCAACCAACCGTTAGGGGGTGGGGTGGGGCTTAAACTAAGGAGGGCGAGTAAATTTTTGTTAAGCTCCTTTGGTTACCACGGCCACCAATCTCTTTATTTATTTATTTATTTATTTATTTTTTCGTTCCTAGATCCTACCGTGCATCTGTAACTGAGAATACATGGAAAAACTTCATCTGAAACGTAATACACCTGAACCAGACTTTTTACGTAGTTTTCGTATCTTTCAAGACAATTTACAAAACTCGTGACGACTTTGCCAAATTTTCTAGATATCTTTCCATGTTTCCAAAGCCGATATGAGGTCTCTTCACTTAGAATTTGAATGGATTTTGATCTTTGGAGAAGTGTCACTTGTTTTGATTTTCGCTCGGTTTAAGTGGACATTTTTTTCTTATTGTGTAGATGACTGATATAATTTATGGGGTGGGGAAATAAATACTGAAATTTACTTCGACACCCGAAAAATGACCAGTACGTAAGCAGGATTTAAATCGCTTACGATAACAACGAGACGCTCTTTAAGGTAAGTTCCAAGGACACCGACGCAGGAACAAAAAGTAACATGTATGAATTGACCCAACTGAAATGATGGTAAGAAATTCAGATGAAAGAATTCCGTATTTGATTCAGTCTAGTGATATGATTAATTTGCAAGTTGATTTCAACGCAGTGATTGAAGTACAAGTGTATCGGTCATTGCCATTTCGTATCAATTTCATATAATTTTTGCAGACATGAAACTGCAACTGATCTGTTCCTCAGTGCATTTAATTCAGAGATCAGTTAGTTAGAGCGACTCGCTGGGACCGTGTAGTCACGAGTTCAATTTCGCGTTATGTTCTTAAAAGATCGTTTCTTCTCAAATGTACTATCTACCTGCCCTATCTATAAACTCTTTTATTCAAACACTCGCAGATAGCGGGTCAGCTTTAATGGGTGAAAAAAAAACAACATTGTGTAACGTGCTCTTTTGTGTGAAACATCACCGACTGGAAAATAAAGGTAGTAGGGATAATCATCTTTAATTTAAGTACTATTTCTTCTCCTCTTTCCGCCGATGGAATTGTAAGGTCAACCTAACCCAGACCAACTCTACCCGACTCAGGGTTTTTCAATACGTGGTCAAATTAATACAAAAATTTTCCGTCAAATTAACTTCTAGGACTCCATCAGCTAAATTACTTCCTAAAATATTTACTTACCAACAGGTCCAACAGCCGGTTGTTGATTTTCAGCATTAGTTCTGATCAAATAACAAATACAAGAAACAACTACCATTAAAAAAATGGCCAACTTGATAATATTGGTAGAGTGTCTTCCTAATCTTCTGAACATCTTGAAAATCACAAGAACATCAAAAGAGGACGACGTGACCTAAATCCAATGCTTTACGTTGTAAAGCATATCACTTTGGTGCATTTCTCGAAAACACTCTTTATCCCTTAGCGACTGACTCGATGCGGTTCGTTGTTTCACAAGACATTAATTCCTCCAAGTACGCAAAGACAACAGTTTAAATTTCCATTTCCATTCTCGACTCGGGCACAGTAGACAAAAAGACTTTTCAAGGTCTCCTTAGATACTATTAAGAACGGCAAACATTTTATGCTGACAATACTTGATTTAAGTGAGTCATTTGCATCCTGTCGCGGTCGACAGGATGCAAATGACCATATTGCAAATTGGTAGCAGCGAGGTAGCGTGAACAGAGGTGGAATGTAATGAAGATTCACTGTCTGATGCCATTCTTTCGAAAGTTAAAAAGTATTTACGAGCCCGCACGACTCCTGTCTTTCCTCCGTGACGAATTCGCTCGTAGGAGGCAACTGACTAGATTCAGGAAGAATCGAAATTGCAGTCTCGCCTAAGAATTTATACAAATGGCAGCAGTTACATCCACAGCCGATGGCTATGTGAATGATAATAAATTCAGAAAATACATTCTTAGACGCTAGTTATATATTAAACGTATTACAAAGAGACAGAGACTTTCTATTACACGAACTTTTTTATCATGTGGCAAATTTTGCAACTTTTGTTTGCAAACTCTTATTTCCCCCTACCCCCCATCAAAAATGGACATGAATTTAATTTCAGACCGGCTCAGTACTGCATCAATAAAATATTTGAACTGACCAAGTCCTGTATTTGGGCGATTTCAAAATGGATGTAATAAAGAGGTAATTGGACCTCGTGTCATGCAATTTTGATCTGAAATCACGCCTTTGATTTCAGCCCAAATTGCACTTCACTCAGTTCAATTACCATTATATGTTATTGGGTGTTATTTGTTGTCATTGTCGTCTTTACCGTGATTAAAAAAATGTTCGACGAATTGAAGTCAGAAATAAAAAATTTGAGATTAGCTCGGGTTTGGCCTTTTTTTTGATCAGCGCCAGTGAAAACTAAGACAAGAAAGTTATGCACTTGCTACAAAAGAGAATGACAGTCAATTTGATTTCGGCACGACTTTCTAAATCTCAGTATTAATTTTTTTAACCACTTTGTTTGTTAAAAAAAAATCAAACAAACAAACAAAAAAAAAGAACAAAGTCTTATTCTTAAGTCTAGCCGTTTCTTTGGTGACTAGTTTGAATTCATGTCATTCTTTCATGGTTAAACAGGAACTCATCGTAAACAACTCCATCGTTGGGTCGCTTGGTTTCTACATGGTTTCGCCATAACTCTAGATAACTCCGTTCAAAATGCATTACAACTCTAAGAGAGAGGCGCTCAAAAGAGATGTACAGTCATGATTAAGAATATTCAGTAAACAAAGAGAAAAACGACGACCATTTCAATTCCAAATTATACTTTATAAAATTATGAAAAAAAACGAGTAGTGCTGAAATCTAGTGGCACGAAACGAAACGAAGCGGCACAAATAATTTTAAAAAAGTTATTTAGTGGGCTTCAAAATTTGATAGATGAATTAGCAGACTCGAGACTTAACTGGAATAAAATAATTTCAAAGTTTAATCGCCCACGTGGATTCATTTTAACAACTTACTAGCCGTATCTATAACTATCCTCTGTTTGCGCTTGTTGCATATTCAAAGGTGATAGTGATCTTTAAAGAGCCGAGGTTAGGATATTCAAGGACAAATATAACGTTGACGGTTCGTTGCAACGACTGCTGAGTCACTTCTGAGACACAACAGGGCGACGTTCTCAACCCAGTTTCTGAAAGGTATTTTTGCTGCGCGCGCCGTTGTCAACTGACGCTCCCGTCCTCTTGCTAAACCACTCTACCGAGCGCCCCAGAACGCCATTCTCTCGCCTTTATATTTCTTTATACCTGACTGGCCCTCCTTTCGCTTCTCAAACTTGCTGTCTCGGATCGTAGGTCGATGACAGGAAAGCCGCTTCTTGAAACAAAAAAATCACTTGAACTTGTTTCTTTCACGAAAGACTTGGGTGTCATCTTGGACACCCACTACCCACTAAACTTATGAATGTCACGTCTGTAATCTTAAGGCCGGTTGCTTAAACCAAGTATAGCCATCGATCAAATTAAATCAACCCTCTTATAGCGCATCCCTGAGGCCCACTGATTGCGATAGTTTGGATTAGACTGCGTGTAAATAACCGGCCCTAAAATTTTTAGAAGAATCTATATGGAACGAAATGATTTTCAAGGAAATGTTTCGGTTGGATCCAACTCTGCCAAAATATTTCCAAGAAAATCAATACGATCCAGTCAGAAGCTTCTACACATTATGACTTCGGAACGTGGAATGAACATTTTTCTTCTATCTCTTGTGGTTCCATCTGCTTATTTCGTCAAGTTTAGTCTTGATTCGTAAACAACTCTGTTTTTGGTAAAAGTTTCATCGTTATTTTCAAAACGATGTTTTCATGCTCAACAGTCTGGCCAAACTCGTCTCTCTGCTTCTACTTTAAAGGAACTTAAGTTACAACTACACTTTGCTGCAAAATTGTTAAGAATTCCAGGAATTACGATCACTGTGATCGTGTTACCCAGCTTCTGCGCCAGTGAAACTGGCTGCCTGTCAGACACCTTGATAATTTTGCGCATGAGTGCGTAACCAAACTTAATCCTACTTAATATAAATCATGAAAATAAATTAATAAAGTATTATAAATAATACTAAATTTCATCATTAATCCTACTTATGTGAGTGAGAAATTTCACAAACCATTCAACATCCATAGCCCGGCCGCAAGTGGGATACTTCACAGATACCACTGTTTAAACTGCTGCTGGTCAACAAACATATTAAGAGTTTTTAACATATGAAATAACTAAGATGATAAATTAAAAGTCTGCTTCTCCCTCAAAATTTTTTAAAACATAATGAAGAAACAATTTCTTCCTCAGCAGTAATTTTTTGGTAATATACATATATGTAATGGTAATAGGACCTAGTGGAGTCCAATTCGGTCTGTAATCATGCAAGTGATTGACAAAATCATTCGTTAGTCCCGAGTATGATTACAGACAGAATTAGAGAAGAAGGAGTCCTATTACCAATTAATCATAGCCATTTCCATTTCAGAAAAAACAAATTCACCTAGAAAAAAAATGACTCCAGTGGAGACAATATCTTCAACTATCTGATTACAGATGTCCGATTACAGCCAAATGTCCCATTAAATTATCCGATTACAACTGTACAGAATAATTAGTGAAAAAAAAAAAAAAAAAAAGCTGTGAATACACCAATAATATTTGAATAATTTGTAATTGTCATGATTAATTTTATTTTTGGTTGCTCGTGTACATGGCGACTAAAAATCTCCATCCATTCAGTCATCTCCTGATCCTGGAAGAAGGGGAATGGTGCACCAGAGGAAAGTTTGGGTAGGAAGTGAAGGTCTGCTGAACTGCCATCATTCCTTAAATAAAAAAAACTGTAGAAGTAATCAAAAGACTTCAGGAAGAAACCTCCAAATTCGCTCAAGTTTAGAACTACTTAAGTCAAGTAGCTTTGAGAAAGAGATTGTATCTGCCATGTATCTTCAAGAGTGAAAATTTTGATTTCATCTAATATTTATTGATATACAATGTAAAATAACAGATTAATGTACATGTCCATAGATTTACAAGGAAAATCTTCGACCTCCTGCAGTGTTTCCTCAAAACAGTTTGAGAAATAAACTGCATTTGTTAATGCTGTTCTAGCTGTCTCTGTAAGATTGACTTGATCCTTCTGCCTGAGACTGCTACCATCAAGAAACCTTTGGCTTTTTGGCAGCACTAATGTCAATAGAAGAGGAGACAACTGATCCCTGTGCTCCAAGTTTTACTGGTGGAGTTGCGGTTTTGACAGGAGGTGCTGGGGCTGCGCTCACATCCCATTTGCTTTTTCTCTTCTTTGGTTCCTCTGCAACAAAAACACAATTGAAAGGAAATAAACAACAAGTACAGAGTCATCAACAAAATAAGTAAATTCACTTTACAACCAAACACCAGAATGCACACTCTCCATACTGTTCTTCATACAATTCTTTAGGTGCTGACAAGGAGAGTTTGTTTAACAATCAAGGGCTTTTTTAGTAGGTGATCATTTCCTTTTTTCTTGTGCCCTTAAATTTGCGATTGATGGGTGATATTGAAAGGAGAAATTAGATGCTAGTCACTCTAAGAGGTCACGGGGTTAAGAAGAAAGAGCTGCTCTCATGGGGGGGGGGGGGGGGGGGGGGGGGGGGGGGGGGGGGGGGTAACTGCACATATAATATTGCAAGAATCCTGTCATATTCATGAACAAAAAAGCCAAAAGCTGAGATACCTGCACCTGACTTTTTGGTCCCAGACACAAATTCCACCTTGAGGAGGAAAACAAATGACTTATTAAAAGACCAGATACATGTAAACCTCTACAGGTGTTCTTCTTGCTATTGTCTAACAACTAAATGTATGAAAAAGCACAATGCAAATCTAAATTCAATATGTGCAGTAGTAAGACACCACAGTAAAAGAGTTTCTTCACCTCTAAAATGAGAGCTATAAGTAATGCTATCAAAATTTCACCTAAGAATTTTACATGCCACATTTAGCTGGTTGCTTAGTTTACCCTCTAACTCCAAGACTTGACTAACATGTAACTGCTACACATTTCGATGTAAATTAGTTGTGAGAATTTGTTGTTTGATCAAGATAGCAACTTCTACCTGATAAGTTTGAGTACTGGTATTCCTGTTATTCAGCAAACAGGTACTGGGAATACTCAAACTTATCAGGTAGAAGTTGTTATCTTGATCCAACACCAAATTCTCACAACCAATTTAAATTGAAATGTGTAGCAGCTAGCAGGGAGTATGAACGATCAGATCTTGTCAGCTAAAGGGTTCACAAACACCCTAGTTCCTTACCTGTGTTCTTGCTTGCTTTGCTTTTTCCTTTTCCTTTCTCTCATAAGCTTCTTTCTGAGCTTTGGCTAAAAAAAACACATACAGTGTATCAAATAATCAGAGGATAGAAGTTGACAAGGAACTAGTAAGATCATCGTGCATTGTATCTAGACAACATACATAAGCTTTCATAGTAAGACTC